TGCCGGAATGTTTACCTAAATGAGGGTACTGGATACGATTGGGCTGGACAAAAGAGAGTCAAGGTGGCATTGGATTGAGCACCAGCATCCCTAAGACGTTCTCCCACGCTAATTTTGGGACCTACACTGGCAACCGGCTCTGAAAGATAAAGAATGTTGAACATACCACTAGACTACACTCAAGTGAAAACTGCCTGATGGGAAAATGGAGCGGGCCTCACCTGAATGCCGGAACCGGATAGGATTGGGCTGGGCAAAATATACTCAAATCCCCATGCTGCGGAACCTCGGCGTCCTTGCGACGCTCACCCACACTGATCTTGGGTGGCACACTGCCCACAGGCTCTGAAACCAATAAAGTGTGGAGTGAGCACAAAAACACTATGCTAACATTGAAAACTGCCCAAGTAACTTGACAATAATGGAATTTACCTGCCACTCAAATAACTTTTGCAAGGGATGAGGTTCTTGTTTCCCATTTGCGTGACAATGAATGGGTTAAATCGGGCGGCAGTTTTGGTAACAATGCTAATTAGAGTTCAGAGCCAATGAGGCTTGGCGACCTAATCTCGGCTCACTTGTAATTGGAAAACTTTGGACAAGCCGCATAATTTGACAGCTTGTACGTATTAGCAACAAGTTACCTATAGAAGGGCACGGGGTAAGCCTGGGCTGGACAGAAAAGGGCTATTGTTCTGCCCATGCGGATGCTGTCGTGACTGAAGCCGTCCTTTTTGTTGACACGTGGAGCCACGCTGCCCACAGGCTCTATAAGTTTAGGGGTAGGGATTATAAAAACCATAAGCAACTGCCTGAAGATAAAGGGGAATACAGATCTCGACAATGACCCACCTATAAAAGGGCACTGGAAAGGATTGGGCCGGACAACGTAGTGCCACAATACCACCAACGGCAATTCGATCGTGACTAAACTCATCGTTTTTATTCACTTTTGGCGCTACACTTCCAACAGGCTCTGAAATAATTTCGATTTACGTTAGACCAACCTAGCCAATGAAAACTACAAGAAGAGGGAAACCTGAGCACTCGACATTACCTATAAAAAGGCACCGGATAAGCCTGAGCAGGACACTGTATAGAAATTGTCATCGAACTTCTTATTCGGTCGTGATTGAACTCATCCTTGCGATTTACTCGCGGAGCAACACTACCAATTGGTTCTATAAGAAGTTTGGTATTAGCTCTATTTCGAAATAACTGTCTGAATGGGTTCCCGTACATGACAATGTATATTTTAGGCATTTACCTATAGGCTGGCACTGGATAGGATTGAGCTGGGCAAAGCAAGGCCAGTGAATTGTTGGACTTGGCCACAAAAATTCCCACTTTATCTTTTATTTCAACTTTAGGCGCCACACTGCCAACAGGCTCTGAAAGTATAAGTTTCGAAATCTAAATCTACCTTTCTAAGTAGAAAAACCTGATTTGATGGGCAGTACTCAACAATGTTTTACCTAAACGCTGGCATTGGATATCCCTGAGCCTTGCATAATAAGTTCAAAGAGTTTCCAGAGTTTCTTATATTAACACCAAATTTGTTTTCCATATCAACTTTGGGCGCCACACTGCCAACAGGCTCTGAAATAAAGGTTCAATAAAAGTCTACCACTAAATCTCCTGATCTTAAGATGTCTTTACCTTAAAACTGGCATAGGATAGATAAGATAGGATGATGTACTCAACAATGTCTTTACCTAAAAGCTGGCATGGGAAAGCCTTGAGCCTTACAGAACAAATTTAAAGACTTATTCGAACTTCTAATGGTAAAATCCATCTTGTCATGCATATCAACCTTGGGCGCCACACTGCCAACGGGTTCTGCAATAGTTTTTGAGACAAGGGATTGTAATACTGACAGAAAGTATCGAAAACTGCCTGAGTCAAGGTTATAAAAGAGGAAACTCATACCTATATGCTGGCATGGGATACGACTGAGCTGGACACAATAAACTCAAGGCCTGACCACGAGGCTTGTCCAGCCAAGTGATTCGATCTTTAACATCCACTTTTGGCGCTACACTGCCAACGGGCTCTGCAAATAATATTGGGGCTTATTAAAGTTCTCAAAAGGACACTTAACTGACTTATGAAAACTGCCTGGAAAAATGGGATGATAACAAGGCTTACCGGGCGATTGGCATTGGGAAGGACTGAGCTGGGCAAAGCAAATTGAGGGAGCTGCCTTTGGGTTTGTCCACCCACTTGATCCGATCGTTGGGATCCACTTTGGGAGCCACACTGCCCACAGGCTCTACAAAGATTTATGGTGAGTTTTATCTACCTTAACCTCTAGATAAACTGCCTAAGTGTTGGGACAAACCATAAGCCTCAGAAACTCACCGAAAAGCAGGCACCGGATATGATTGAGCTGGACAAACTATCGAAAGACTGTGATCTAAGGCCGCCCGAGCGTAATTAATCTCGTCTTTAATATCAACTTTAGGGGCAACACTTCCAACAGGTTCTGGGGAAAAGTTATCTTATTAGTTTCCCCTTAACAATGAAACCCGAATGTTGGTCTAGGATTGTTACTCAATTGCTAGACTAGGTTTATTACCTAAAGAACGGCATGGGATACGATTGAGCAGGACAAATTAGAGCCTTGGATGCTCCCAAACGAGTCCTGGCAAAAGTAAACTCATCACGAGTATCCACCTTGGGTGCAACTGAGCCTACGGGTTCTGGTTTGGAGTAAAATGTTCGTTATTTATCGCCCAATTGTAACTGAATGTTGGTGAAGGGTATTGGAACTGACCTAACAATGGGTACCGGATATGCCTGACCAGGACACTGCATGGAGAAGTCCTCTGCAAGCTTCACTTGGAGCACTTGAAACTTGTCGTGCAGACTTGTTATCTTGGGCGGAACTGATCCAATTGGCTCTAAGTATTCAAAGAAAAATATTTCAAGTGGAATATTCATTGAAAATCAGAACTCCACCTAGAATGTTGTGATAGAGTAAAACGACACCCACCTAACAACGGGCACAGGATATCCCTGACCTGGACATTGCATGGCAAAATTGCTTTCCAATTTAACCTGCATCAGTTGAAACTTATCGTTGATATTGTTGATTTTTGGCGGCACTGAGCCAATGGGTTCTGGAAAATCAATTATAATGAAACTCTTTGGAAACCTAAACATACAAATATCTGACTTGGTGTTGGGATAGGCATAGCTTTACCTATTGATGGGCACAGGAAAAGCCTGACCAGGACACTGCATGGCATACTTCGTACCAAAGGAGACCTCCATTGTACGAACTCTTTCTAAGAGGTTTAACTTCGGGGGCACAGAGGCAACGGGCTCTAACAACACATAAGAGTTAGGATTAGAGTCTAGGATAATATCCGAAAAAACTGCCCAAATGTTGAAAGCTAGTATTGAAGGTACTTTACTTCTTTTCTTCTTTGGATGATTATTGCATTACCTACCTATAGACAGGAATAGGAAACGACTGTGCTGGACATTTGAGGCTTAGGCTCCTGCCCACAAAGCCACGAGCGTTAGCCACTTCGTCGTCTATACTAACTTTTGGGGGCACACTGCCAATGGGTTCTGAAAGGGAAGCAAGACTGAACTAAGCAAAGACCTACATCTTAAACTGACTGAACTGGGATAGACGTAATTGAATAATCACTTAAATAGCACTGTCTGAAATTCGAGGAACGCCCTGCAAATTGTAAAATGCACCAAATTGATGGCATGCAAGGCGCACCTGTGGGCTGGCATCGGATATGACTGGGCTGGGCATAGCAAAGCGAATCCGATTCCACGGGATATCTCGCGTGTTTGCAGTTTGTCCTGAATATTTATTTTCGGCTTGACAGAGCCAACGGGTTCTACGAGCAAAACATGATTGAGAGTCACGAAGAAGTAAGAAAAACTGCCTGATGTTGGTGGGAAACGGAAACCCACCTGAAGGATGGCGTAGGATACGACTGAGCCATGCAGAGGAGGGAATAACTGCTGGACAACTCCACGTCTATAAACTGGTGCTTGTCCTGGAGATTAACCTTGGGTCGGACACTGCCCACGGGTTCTAAAATTTAAGGAGTTTCAAAAGCCCTAAGTGCAACTGACTGAATGTAAGCCTCATTGAATCTTACTTGAAAACGGGCATGGGATACGACTGCACCGGGCACTGAATGTTGAAACTTGTACCGCTCTCAATCTGCATCATTTTAAAACGCTCCAGGAAATTTAACTTGGGTGCAACACTGCCAACGGGTTCTATAAAAGGGAAAACCTTTAAGCTATTCTGGCTGCCTTTATAAACAATAAAAAGCCCTGTTTATGAATGTTGGGTTAAGGGTTTGAAGTTTACCTAGAAATTGGCTGCGGATATGCTTGAGCTGGACATAGCAAACTTAAACTAAGCAATCTTTTAACCTTCACATGCTTCAGGTCGTCGGAATTGGTAATCTTAGGACTGACACTACCAATGGGCTCTGCAAAAGAAATACCATTTCTAATCCTGAAAAAACCTTTAAGCTATTTGGAATCTGCCCAAAGGGAACGGGAACTCAGGAGTTTCTTTAAGCAACATTTACCTATAAAAGGGCTGCGGATACGCTTGAGCCGGACAAAGTAAGCTCAAATCTTGGCTGCTTTTTCCCTTAATATGCTTGAAATCTTCACCTGTGTTTATCTTAGGACTGACACTGCCAACAGGCTCTATAAAGAAAACAACGAGCTTGGAGGACCACAACAAATTCAAGGATATACTGCCTGAGATGGGAAAGGATTCACTTGTAAGTCTATCTGAGGTTACCTATAAACAGGCACTGGATAAGCCTGAGCTGGACAAAGAAGCGTAACACTGGACTAAAGTTTAACCCTCACTGTTCGGGAATCATCTCCTGAAGTGAGTTTTGGACCAACACTGCCAACAGGTTCTTAAACAGAGATTCAGAAATGAATAAAGCTTTAAAATTCTACTATCTGCCTGAAGTTGGGGACATAAACTAGATCTTTACCTAAAGAAGGGCACTGGATAGGCTTGAGCTGGACACATGAGAGTAACACTACCCATTTTGGGAACCCGAGTGAGTGTTATGTGCTCCTGATTGCCATTGCCACTCAGCTGGGGACTAACACTGCCCACAGGTTCTGTCGAAAATAAGATGTTAGGTCGGAAATAAAATCTTCCTATGAGCCTAAATGTTGGGTTGGGTTTACCTAAAGAAGGGCACTGGATAAGCCTGAGCCGGGCAAAGAAGAGTGGCACTTGCGGCCAAATACACTCTTAGAATCCGCGACTCATCTCCACTGGTGAGACGGGGGCCAATACTGCCAACAGGCTCTGGGAAATGGAAAACCGGAACCCAATCATATAATATATCCCAAACAAAAAACACCTTCAGTTGGGACAGGCTTACCTAAAGACCGGCACTGGATATGACTGAGCTGGACACAACATGGTGGTGGCTTGACCAGCGGAAAAATGGACCACCTTGATGTCATTACCAGAAAGAAGTCTGGGCCCAACACTCGCAATGGGTTCTTAAAAGATTTTAAGGGGATATCAAACTTAAAGCGTGGGAACACTTAAATCCAAATCTCAATTGGAAACTGATGCAATTTGTTTTGGGGCAGGGTATACACCATATTTTCCGAAAGATTTGCTAAGCCTACCTAAACAAGGGAGCTGGATAGGCCTGGGCGGGACAGAGAAGGGTTTGACTAGAGCCTTCGTCTCCCGTGAAACTGCTGCTGGTCAGAGTATTGGGAAACTTGGGTGAAACCCTGCCAACTGGTTCTGTGAATGAATCGAAATTGTTGAAAGTTAATAGCCTTACAGATAATGCCAATAAATAAAGATAGAACAAGAACTGAAAAGTGACTTACCTTGGGCGCAGTTCAAAAGAGAATACTAAGTGAAAGTTGCCAAGGACTTGGACTTGAATTAAAATCAACTGTGACGTTGCCTTTAACTTGGTTTACTTAAGAACGGACCACACCTACGCTATTTGGCTTTATTTCAAGCTCTCATCATTGTCGAGTACCCTATCCCAACATTCAGGCAGTTTTCAATTTAGACTTAGGCTACAGCAACAAGTCTTTGTGTATTGCCCCAAGTGGACCAACTATTTTTAAAATTATATATTTATAGTTCTCATATAGTACATATGTGTTGCGTTGAATTGACAATTTAGTGTGCACAAAGAAAGAGATTCTAAGCAAAGAATCTTTTTGATTGCATTTTAAATAATATCAAAGAATTGTTGCTTTTGTTTTAGTTATATTTATTTGGAAGCTGCAAGTTCTGTTCTATTTAAAATTCACAAAAGAATCAGATATTTGCAATTTCCAAACAAAGCAAATTAACATTATTTTGTACAACAAATATTTGAAATATTAGTATTTTAATATTCTTCATAATCTTCAGATTTAATTCTTATAACTTATCACGGAATTTAACAAATTTATCGTTTTATAACAATATTTCAAATATTTGGTGTCTAGGAAGGAACAAATCGTTACTTAGAAACATTTATGTGTTAACGATTTGCTACTTTTCTATTTAACCTATCAGAGAGTAAACTTCAAAAAATGTCATTTATATAATTAAAATGAATAATTGTACTATTTTATGTTAAATTCAATATGGTAGCATTTAAAATTTATATTTCAAATTTGTAAATCATTTGAAATTTACTCTACAGATAGAAAACTTCAGTTATCAGTTTAAGTTTTAAGCGAATTAATATAAATTAAATGGTAATTTATTTCAATATTTAATTTTATCATCAAATATCAATAACTGAAGTTTTTCATTAAGACATGTATAATGAAATCGGCCAACAAGGCGGACTTACCTGTGATGACCAATCGTCCTTTTGTGGCACTCAGTCGGGTCTCTCCTGTCAGTCGATGTTTTGTTCGGCACTGATAGCTCTTGTAACCATCCTCGGGTCCAACTTCACGAATGTGCAACTCTCCAGAGGGAAGTACCAGATATTTTCCATCTGATCACAGAATGGTGTAAATAGAAACCATGATAAAAATAGAAATGTTAGTAATGTTTTTTCTGGTACCTTTGCAATTTAAACTTATTTACATTTAAGTACAATGGAACAAAATCAATTAACTAACATGCATTTAATTGAGTTTATTCCCAATAATTTAAAAGCCACATGGCCTCTTTTAATTCATTTAATTTTATTTTATTTTGAGTCTATTGTTCTACTTCCCATTGTGCAAAAAGTTTTCGATGTTGATCGCTTTCCCATGCAATGTGACTTTTAAATAATTAAAGCTAAGCTTACATTTAAAGACTGAATGAGAAGTTATTGTAGTTAAGTAAGTTGTAAACTTTTTATTTTAAATACTTTGTTTCGAAACAATTTTGTTTTGGTTCTCATTCAATCTTATCTAAAAAGCTCTGTTAAAATATCGACTTTCTCGTAGACTTTTGCTTTTATTGAATCGATTTTATTTCAACAGACTTCCATGCTTACACTATAACTATACACCAGCAATGCAAAGAATTTGTGGTATAAACAAATCGAATTCAGTCTGAATGATTAAACGCAATTTATTTACAATTTGAATAGAGAAACACAATACAATTTACGTCTTCAGTTTACTGGATTTTCTTCGATTTGTAGTCCACAAGTTCCCTGGAATTGATTTTAATTCTAGACATGCATTAGCAAAAATGCCAATAATTTTAGATGATATGCGGATAACATATTATATATATATTTGTGGTATATATACAACAATGTTCAGATTATTCATTATATATGAAACGTATGTACAATTTGTTAGATGGTTGACTGTTTATTAGCATTTTTGCATATATTTACACTACTCTAATTTATCAACGCTACGTTCAACTACATGAAGGGGTTTCGGATATTTTTGGGCAAGTCAGGAGCGACTCATGGAGTTGTGGAAAGGGAAAACTAATAAGAGGCTGGGATGGGAACAAAAAATAAAATAAAAAGGAAAACTGGACAGAATGAAAGAAAGACAGAAATAAAGGCAAATCGAAAGCCTAGCAGCGCTGAATATGGAAAAGATCCCATTAGAAGAGATCTAACGAGACCAGATCGAGACCAGATCGAAGCGAACCGAATTGGATAGGAGACGCAGGATGTTACGGAGGAGTGGGCAATGCGAGAGCTCTTAATCTGTTAATTTACCGCTTTCCGCGATATCCTCCTGGGGATAGATAACTCGCTCCTCGTCCTCCACCCACGAATCGACCACTATGAAATCGGCCACAAAACTGGGAATGTGGCACTTTAGGATGGCGCTATTGCCCCTCAGTATGGACTCGTCCATGACATTGACGGTGTAGGATTGTGGCACAACTGCAAAGTTTACGGAGAGATTGATTGAGTGGGATGTGGGATTAAAATCATAGGGATAAAAGTGGCGTCAGTTGAAGGATCCCCCTTCATGTGGCTGAGCGAATTGGATAATGCAAGTCTACGAAATCCGGCGTCCTACCAGTTATATTCTTTGTGAAGACCTCGCCCTCGGTATCGATCCAATCGGTTATGTCTATGTGATCCGCCACAAAGGAGGGCGTCTGGCACTTGAAAATGGCAGCGTTGCCCTTGATCACATACTCGTCGTAGACTTGCGACTCGAAAAACTGCTTTACCACTGCAAAACGGGAAGTGGGCAACTAAAATCAGGACTGGAAAGGGTCTTTTGGGTAGGAAGTTTCGTACTCTAACTAAACTAAATGCCGAAGATCTTAAGGGTTACCAATGGAGTCGTCTGGAAGGGGCCTCTGTATCTCAACGCCTTCCTCGTCAATCCAACCCTCGACATCGATGAAATCTGCCACGAATGAAGGCACCAGGCACTTTAACGTGGCAGAATTGCCACGCAGCACAAACTCATCGATGACCCGTGTCTGGTAGAACTGGTGGACAACTAAAGCAAACAAGAGTGAACTTGGTGAAATAAAAACTAAAGGAAATGGGGAGGGGTAACTGGAGAGTTGTGTTTAGAGGAGCCTAGGAGAACTAGAGCAAAGAAAGCTGGCCAAGTACCCGTCTCCTCGGCATTGTTGGGATAGTAGTTGCGACCCTCCGAGTCCAGCCAGAGATCGACGAACACAAAGTCCGCCACGTACGAGGGGATCTCACACTTCATCACCACGGAGTTGCCCCTAATGACGTACTCATTGTCTGCCTCCGATTCGTAGCTTTGAATCACCACTAAGCCAAAAGAATAACATAAAATAGCGTGAAAGATGGGTTGGGGAAAGCAGAGAGGTGGGAGCTAAGACCTAATGCAACTCTTATCCGAAGTATCCTATATATATTGATAAGACTGTACCGTAGGCGGTGGTGGCATTATCGCGCCACAACTCAGTGCCCTCCTCGTCCACCCAGGCCTCAACTTGCACAAAATCAGCAACGAACGAGGGAATCTTACACTTCACCACAGCCGCGTTGCCTTTAATCACATATTCATTCTCGGCCTCGGTTATGTAGAACTGTGAAACGACTTGAATCGAAGGAAATGATAAATAAACCATGGGAAATCGGGGAATACTAGGAATGGAATGGGTGAAATCACTAAAGTAAGCCTATAAATATTGACAAAACATCTTCGCATCGCACCATAGTTGTCCGAAAAAGACAAGACGTTGCCCTCATCATCGATCCAGGACTCCACACGAACAAAATCAGCCACAAACGATGGGATTGAACACTTTAGAACGGCAGCATTACCCCTGATTACATACTCGGTCATAATCTCTGCCTCATAGAACTGATTGACGACTGCAAAAGGTGTGCAATAACGATAAAATATAGAACAGATAAAAAAGGATTGGATAGGAATGAAACCCCCACAAGGTGTTGCTGGTAAAATTTAAATACTCTGGGGTAATACCATAATTTTCAGATGGGCGCAGCTCTGTTCCCTCCTCATCTATCCAGGATTCAACGCGCACAAAATCGGCCACAAACGATGGAATGGAGCACTTAAGAACTGCCGCATTGCCCCTAATGACATACTCCATCAGGATATCGGCGCCGTAAAACTGATTCACAACTGAGATTCAAGAAAGTGCCATATTTGGAAATGAAAAAGAAGCTAAAGCAAGTGGAAATGGGGAGGGAATGGGTATGCGGATCCTGCTTAAAACTAACATCTTAATTGATTCAACTGTGAATGAATGTACCGAAATCCTCCTCCGGAACATACTCGGTGCCGTCACTGGCCACCCAAGCCTCAACTCGCAGGAAATCGGCCACGAAACTGGGAATAGTGCACTTTAAAACGGCCGTATTGCCTCGAATAACGTACTCGGAAACAACCTCAGCCTCGTAATACTGATTCACGACTGTAAAGCAAAAGTTTTTATGAGGAGGAAACAAAAGGAAATTAAATGGCTAAGATGGAGATAATGTGAGGTGGGGGTTGGGATCTGGATAATCCTACATAACCGTAAAATTTTGTGATTGTATTTGTGTACCCGCTCCCTGTTGATCGCCAAGTGAGCCGTAGAGCTGACCCTCTTCATCCTGCCAGGATACGACCTGCACAAAGTCCGCGACAAAGGATGGAATCGAGCACTTCAACACCGCCGCATTGCCCCTTATGACGTACTCGTTGTTGACCTCCGATTCGTAGAACTGTTGCACAACTGGAGGTAAGTTCACACAGCTACTGATTACATAATGAAGGTACAGGGAGGTAGGGGAAGATGGGGCACCTAGAGAACACCTTGCGTGCGGCGGGCGTGTGAAAATGTGAAGCTAGCTAATTGAAACGAGAGTGTCTTCTAAGAGCGACAGACAATATCGCGGAGTGCACTTAATGGGACGCTAAGCGCAATCAGTTTGCTTCCCTGAGAAAGTCCACGGCCAAGAGGTTAATAATGGTTCTGATAACATGGCTCATCAACACGCATTCGTCCAAGATAGCGAAGATAAATGCATAAAAGTAAACATAATAGATGCAGGAGGGAAAATGGTTAGGTACTTATCCATAATTCTTGTGTGTCACGCAACTGTACAAACCCTAAGTAAAGCTAATCCAAAATGTAACCAAAAAGTTAAGAAACAAACCGTATTCGCTGCCCGGCAGAAAGTCCTCGTTCTGATCGGTGTGCCACGAAACAACGCTCACAAAATCGGCCACAAAGGAGGGGATTTCGCATTTCAAAACCGCCGCATTGCCGCGTATTACATAGGCCTTATTTACATCGGTGTCGTAGTATTGGGCAACGACTAAAACAGCAATCAAATAAATGCATTTACGTAATGAAACCGAAAATAAAGTAATTCGGGAAGAAATGAAAACGGAACACTGAAGTATCGAGGAAGCGAAACGAAGGAGCGAAGGATTCCAAACTTTTCCAATTACTGCCTAACCAGTGGTGGTTAGTAAAGTTACGTTTTAAGTTCAGTGTATTGTATATTTTACAGAATTTTGTAATTAGTTTTGCAGTTTGCCTGTTAACTGTACTGGCACTGTGCACAAGTGTTTCTGTGAGTTTGGCTTTGTAGTGTTGTACAGTAGTGGTTAGGATAGTGCTATTTTTCTAAAAGCTCACAAACACAGACAGTACTTCTGTGCACTTGATCACACACCATATTCAGTGCCTGGATAGAAATTCTCTTGTTCATCGCTATGCCAGGATATAACATTCACGAAATCGGCTACGAACGATGGTATATCACATTTCAAGATGGCGGAATTGCCGCGGATGACAAAAGCCTTGTGTATATCCTCTTCGTAGTGTTGGGAAACGACTAAACAGGTAGGAGAAACGAAAATAATAGTGAGTTTGAGATTTAAAAAAGGATTGAATGAAGTATGGATGGAATGGAGGGATTTTCTATGAATTTCGCGGAACCCCAGCATGCTTTTAGTAGAGCAAATCTATCATTGACATGGGTAGTTCGGATCGCACCGTATTCCGCGCCCGGAAAGTAGTTCTCCTCCTCGTCGGTGTGCCAGGATACCACCTCGACGAAATCGGCCACGAATGAGGGTATTAGGCACTTGATGACCGCCGAGTTGCCTCGGATCACGTGCTCCTTGTTTACATCCGCCTCGTAGTACTGGGCAACCACTGGGAAAAGTGCAATCATTACCGATTAGATTGTCGAGCCTATTCCCACCGTCTAAAATGGTTTCAGATTCAACCTTGAAAGTGTTTGGGAACCAAGTTCCAGGAATTGCGTGGCTTAATGGCCAAGTTCTGGTTAGAAATTCATTAAACAAAAAACACCGAAACTATCAACGTGTCGCCGCCTGACAGGCAAAGTTAATTTCAATTAACCAAAATATTTTATCCGCCAGCCTGTGTTCGGGGTGCAGACCATAACTCATTTGGGCCAACTAGCTCCGGGCCGGCTGGACAGAATGGTTTTCCGCGTCTGCGCTTTATTCACACATAAGCATACTATAAAATGATAAATTCCTCCGGTTAATAGCAAGCGAAAGCAAACGACAATAATGATGTCAGGCTGGAGGAACAGCGGACCAGAAGGGGCGAATAGGTTGAAAGGTGGTCGACGGGCTAGGTGTGCTGGCTAATTGCCAGGGAACACGTCAGCCGGCGATGAGTAAGCGGGTGGCATGGCTCCAACATAATTAGCTAAAATGTGCTCAAGTCTGGCCCATTTAGGCACTGCTTCATGGAAGCGGAAGTGACTGATATCCAGGGGAGTTGAGTCTGGGCCTTAACTCGATCAGCTGGCAACCCGTCAACTCCATACGGTGTGCGCTAAATAAGGTGACAATTTCATCATCATCGTCTGTTTCAGGAGGAGCTGTCGAAGGTTTGTGAAGAGCCATTCGCAAATGGCAGGTACAGTCGCCGACAAAACACTGGCAGAGGAAGTGAAGCAGCGCAATCGAACCGATTAAAGTGAAATGCCAACATGCATTACATTCCCCCAAACGTTGCAAAACTCCGCCAAGAAATGTGTGAAAATGAAAGCGTTCGGAAAACTTTGGCAGAGCGTTCGATGGAAATCGCGTTAAAACTCTTTTTTAATTGCCGCAACCGGTACAACAATAAGTCAAACACAAGGGGTTAAAGACTGCAAAGAGTGACTTGACACGCAAAGGCAACCGGCAACTGGCAGCCAAGAAACCGAGGTGCAAAATAGAGGAAATACGTAACCAACGCTGATGAGTCTTCATTTGGGTGTAGCTGAAAAAAATTGGTAAACGTAGGGCAGTGCATGTCTTGGAGTTGGTTTTTTAATTAACATGTTTCCTTGAAAGCTATATGTAAATATAATTTTTGTAATATTTAATTATGACAATAGCTAGGGAAATTAAAATACAGAAATGGTTACTTCTTATTTGTTGGAAGCAAATTGCATAATACATTTAATATTTTGGATAATATTATGACATTTTATAAACTCATCATGAAAATGATTTTATTTTAATCAAAATTAGCAAATTGAATGCTTGGGATATATTACATAAAGTTTCTTTCTAATATTAATAATTTATTAATAACAATTAATTAATAAATCGAATCAAAAAGGAAATCCTGATTAGCTGCACTTCGCTGGTGGTAACATTTAAATTGAATTTCCTGACCAACATCCAGACTGCACTGCCCTAAATTTACTTTGGAACCTTTTTAACTTACCGGCGCGCACATTCACGTCGCGGGAGATGATGGATCCAAACTGGTTACGGGCTAGACAGGCGTACACCTGGGCGTGCACCTCCTGGCGGTAATCCTCGGCGCGGAACGGCGGGAAGACCAGCTTGCCGTCGGAGGAGATCTGACGAAGTCCGGGAACGTCGCCCACGGCGGTGCCATCGCTGCGGATCCAGATAATCTCGGGCATAGGGTTTCCACTGGACTTGCACTCGATCTCTGCGCCGGTGGAGTTGGAGAAGTCAATGCGATTGGTGGGTTCCTTGAGGAAGACTGGTCCTTTCTGGTCGGCATCTGGGGGATTGGCAGCAAGGGTCTGACCACAAGCTAGAATGGAATTAAAAGAAAATTTACAAATTAGTAAATACATCAAATATTATATTTTCCAAGAACGCGTTATAAATTATAGTATATTTATTTAAGGACATTAAACATATCCTTAATAAGTTGGTGATCTATCGCTTGCACTCTACTTAACTCACTCTAAATTAATATGCCAATAGAACTGCCATCCCTATATGTGATCAACAAACATTTGGCCACGGTTTATGGTCAGAACATCCGGAGCGGAAGTGCATTCTCATATCCATGTCAACGGGTTGACTATTGTTCCAGCCTTGGTTGTTTGACAATTGAGTGCCATGGATCAGTGACTCCCCAGTTCTGGACCTCCAACAAAAGCTGTATTCAGTTCCATACCTTTTTTCTAAGCCAGTCAAAGCTCCACTTCCATTTCCACCCACTGCCTCTAGAGGCAAACAAAAGGCAAGCAGGCTAAAATCGTTCGTTGACACTCTGCAGACTCCACCCACTCCTCTTCCGCCCTGAAATTGTTGATGCCGTCACTGTAACATTGGCAAGCGATTTCATATTTCATTTTATGCATCGCCATGTCGCTTGGAATTCCCCTCATCCCGCAATTTTGTATTCCTAAAGGTGTTGACAACTTTCTGTGCAGTGACACGCCTACCGCCCGCCCCTTTTCCATACAGTTCGGATGCAATTCTCGAGGCGTGCGACTGCAATTTGTCTAGGGAAAAAGTTATTGTAGGCTTTGTTAACTGCATCCATACAACTAATTTGTGTTCTGGGACCAACAAGATTGTAAGCTATGTAATAAACTATTGCCTATATCAAATGTATTCTAGTCTTAGCGTATTCCAATACAAAAGTAACCTTAGTTTATGTTATTTCTTAATAAAAATATCCCAAAATTATCAAGACGTTAAAACCAAAAAGAGAAAAAATTACTAATAAAATCTTATGGGTAGTATAGACTTATAAGATTCCAATTCAAACGGGTTAAAATTACAAAAAGTTCAGACAATTAGGAAGTCACCCTATCGAAAAATACAAATTGAGAAGGTGGAGTTTACTGCCCCTGCCTTAAAATTTAATATTTTAAACCATAATTATTTATTTGACACCGTAGTGAACCGTGTGTGCGTGTATGTCACACACTTAACACTTCGACAATTTACTTTCCGCGTTTTTCGAATGATTTCTAAGGCATTGGGCTGACGTTTACCAAATAAATTAATCAATTGATGTCGTTTTAAGGTTTCAATTAAGTGGGGAATAGAAAAGGCACACAGGAAACGTCGCCTTCATAATATAAATTGTAAAGAATTCTTTCGGAACAATAAATGTTGCATATAAAATATGGCTTTTAAGAACAAGCTGAGCTGTACAGTGCGTTGCAAAACTGTGAGATGAGTAGGAAATTATATGTTTTAGGCCACGGTAATTATTTTAAGATTTATTCGAAACTTCGTTAAAAGTGATATATAATTTAACACCTAATTAAAATAGGTAAAAAAATTTAAAAATATAATTTATGAACATTGTTAAATTTATATTAAAATGGTAGTGGATTATATTTATTATTATTATTTATTATATTTATTTATTATATTTATTATATTATATTTCGTTCAATGTATAGGTTCTTTTCCACATTTAAGGTGTTGCAAGACAGACTGTTCAGGAAATACACAATTGTATGTACATATATATGTTTGCATCAATATATATTATTCAGCATATGGTGGCCATACGGAATACAGAGCGTAAAGTCTTGGACAGACTTGCGAAAATAAGCATCAAAAACTGTGGGTAAGGAAAAGGAAATGAGAAATACGCATTGCGAATTAAATTGTGAAACTGTTGTTGTTTTACTTGCTCTTCTCTACATCTTGGATTTGATTTTATATATTATCAGCATTTTCAAGTCCACCTGCTTTTAGCTTTGACTTTATTTTCTGATGCAGCAAAAGCAGCAGGTGTATTTTGTTTGACTTATTTCGTTTCCAAAACCTAAAGCTGTGCGAACAAAAAAACATGCAGAACGAAACCGGTTCAGAAGCCGGCTTTAAATAAGTAAAAAAAAAAGCAAAGTAAAGTAAAACAAAATCATAAGCAAAAACAATCCACAGCAAAAGCAGAACAGCGATGTCAACGACGGCAAAACTCAAGTTAATCAAACGCTCGAATTTTTGTTTGCCGAATACGTTAAGTTTTTCGTCTCGCAATTTTCCACTCAGGCGTCCAATTTGCAAAATTTGATGATAATTCTGCTGATGATGATGATGCAGTCGCTAACATCTAAGGTCAAATCATCAAGTTTAAGGAGGGCTTGTGACTCAGCTTGATGTTTCTTATGCTTAAGATAAATAGAACGAAAAGTGGGCTACAGAAAAAAGCAAATCAACCGAGGAAAATAACAATAAACTATAGCTAGAGGAGTGACTGACAGAACCAACAAAAAAGGGAATAGTGATAGGAAATAAATAACTGCGAAAACACGCAATTCGAGAGGTGTCCAATTACGACATCCAAGCCACAATGAGAGCAAACAATTATTAAACTGAAACTTGAAGTCTCACAACTCGAGACTTGAATTGGATTTATGTTTTTGAGAAATTAAATATTTAAGTTGTTTTTGGGGTATTTATTTCGTCTCGGAGTGCCCCAGCCTATCTAATTAACTTGTTTCGTGACACACAGTAACCCTTAACACCTCTCGAAGGGGGAAATTGGAATCTAATAACTTCCGGCTAAACAAAAACAAAGGGCCTAAAAGTTCAATAAACACACACGCACGACCCCGCCCACCGAAATGAGTCCACATCACGCACTCTTGTCATCGAGGTCAGCCACAAAGGTACGGACTGTCCAGGATAACCCATACCCCATCCTCAATCGACTATTGGCCCTCTACCTGAACAGAATGAATCTCGACTATTTCACTGCGATTTTGAGCGGATCGGTGAAAGAAAGAAACATCTGCTCGGGAGCTCAAAAACCAGTTCGACAGCTGTTTGGCGGAGGAGTGCTGGGGAAATGGAGAACAGGTATCTCAATGCCAGCGTTACCCACTCATTCATGCGAATCGTGCGGCGTTTACCCACACACTCATCACGATCAGTTACAGTCCACAAAACATTACCAATTACTTGTGTGGCTTTATAAATGTAAACAAAAATGTACACAGAGGAAACTAACTAAAATTATGGCCAACTCTGTTCTTCAAATCAGTTGTAAAATCAAGAAGTCCCTATTGATTCTTCGTATTGACTATTATTTATCATTTTGGTGATGTACAACACTTTTTGTAAAATTATATAATTTGGTAAGCATTTATTATACTACTTTTGATGAAGCTAATGATATTGGGTAGTTATTAAATCATAAATTAAAAAAACTTTAACTAAATTAGGTAATATTTGTCATCCAATATATAAACTATTAAAATTTATTAAGCAACGATATAATAATAGTAAACCAATTACTAATATATAAACCTAGAACTGATAAAATTCAGAATGTTCAGCACAGTCTTTAGTTTAAATTAAAAACAAGATGATAATCAAACAAGAAAGGAAAGCTAACTTCGGGCGGAGCCGAAGTTGATATACCCTTGCAGAATACTCTGTAAATTATATTCTCCAAAATTATTCATATGATGCATTCTTAATACTCATAAAAATCCCAACTTCCTAACTTTAAAAACACCAAAGTTATGGCATTTCCAATCGTTCAGTTATATGGCAGCTATAGGATATAGTCGGCCGATCCTTATGAAATTTGGTAGGTCGGATTGATTGGCCAAAAATAAAACCCATAGAAAATCCCAACTTCCTAACTTAACAAATACCAAAGTTATGGCATTTCCGATTAATCAGTTATATGGCGGCTATAGGATATAGTCGGCCGATCCTTATGAAATTTGGTAGGTCAGATTGATTGGCCAAATATAAGACCCATAGAAAATCCCAACTTCCTAACTTAACAAACACGAAAGTTATGGCATTTCCGATCAATCAGTTATATGGCAGCTATAGGATATAGTCGGCCGATCCCGCCCGTTCCGACTTATATACTGCGTGCAAAGGAAAGAAGGGTGTGTGCAAAGTTTCAATTCGATATCTTTAAAACTGAGAGACTAGTTCGCGTAGAAACAGACAGACGGACAGACAGACGGACAGACAGACGGACAGACAGACGGACAGACAGACGGACAGACGGACAGACGGACAGACGGACATGGCTATATCAACTCAGGAGGTGATCCTGATCAAGAATATATATACTTTATAGGGTCGGAGATGTCTCCTTCACTGCGTTGCACACTTTTGACCAAAATTATAATACCCTCTGCAAGGGTATAAAAATATATAATTTGTAGGTATATTTCATTCCCTACACTGATTGTAAATAATTGTTTTCAAACGATTTTTTAGTACAAATTAAATATATTTTAAAATACAATTTGAAAAGAGGTTTTTATCTCTCAGTGTCCAGACACCAAGTAATTGTGTAATGCGTGACACAGATAATTGCAGACGCGTTGCCCACGCTGTTCTAACAGCTCTCTGCCCAAATAGTCACCTCCAATTGCCGCCGACTGCAAGTCACCCGCGGGAAGGTCCAAGACCGCAAGTTACCTGTCCACCTCGTCGTCACCCAGAAGATGACAGGGAGCCACGGCGACGACACGCCGCACTCGACAGAAGCTGACAACAAAACCGCAACAATCGGGAGTGGGGGGAGGGACAGGTTGGGAACACCGTTAAGTCGACAGGAGACAAAAGTGGGACGAACTGGAGCAGGCCACGTGGAAGATAGATACATTTTAGGGGAGAGACGAACGACTGGAGTGATGATGATGCGGATGATTCCAGTGTCAGTAGATGTCACGGCACAGTGGGCTATACTCAAACTATTGTCGAACCTTTTGTCTTATTTGTATTATAGAAAGGTTTATTATTCAAAATATGGCTTCTACAGAATTTATTAGCTTAAATAATAACCGAATTCACAAAGGG